AATTGTCATCCAATTGAAAAACATTAAGTTTTTACCTTTTTTTTTTTTTTTTTTTTTTTCTTTTAGGTTATCAATGGAAATGCCTACTTGAACTTGAAGTATTAATTAATAAATAAATAAATAAGTTGAAATAGTCTGTTGTCAGTTAAAAGCAACAAAATTTGATTTTTATACTTAACCATGATTCGGATTACATCTCATTATGTTTATAACCTTGAAATTACAATAATTACTTAAGGATGAGCCCATACAATTGTATTTCATGCTCCGCTATTGGTCATTAACATGTGTGTACATGAAAAAGAGATGACGTTACATTATAAAATCAATTGATAATATAGACAGTGACGGAGTCAGATCAAAGCTAGGATGGGCCTCTAAGCAATGTGAAAGAAATTGGACAAAATAACTAATGGAGAAAAAGGTTCATTTTTTATATTGGAATGAAAAATAAGAGATTAATGAAGTCACGAAATTTTTTTTGAGATAGTTATATCATAAGCATCGAACTTCTTTTTAAGTTCCTACATTGAAGTTGAACAAAATTTAATATTGTGGCTCAATACTGCAACTATGAAAATTGTCTTTCAAAATAAATTCTTCCTCCATTCCATATATGCGTAGTTTCACTGCAAAACAACACTCTATCATACAAAATAGTGAAATAAGGAAGGAAGACTAGTTTATATAAGGATTTGGTTTCATAACAATACTACTGTAAAACACATAATAAAGTCAGCTGGAAGCAAAAGCACGTAAGTAGAAGAAAGCATAGTATCCAACCAAAAACACACAAATAGAAGCTACAATGAAAAACTTTAGGGTAGGCTTGGACCTCTCCTGATCCTCAAGTGGCTCTGCCACTGATTATAATACTCTCAATAAATGACAAATTCATCCTTGCTTAATACTATAACTTGTAGATTGTTAATTAACATCATGGAACCATATTCTAGTACGTATCGTATAACAATGAGTAATGCTACGGAAATTAAATTGGTTGACAAAAGTTTAGAAACTAAAGGACATAGAAGTTGATAATTGGTTTATTACTTAAGCGTTGATAAACGTATTCATTCCTATTGGTGACACATCATTTAGTTTGCAAATTATATTTACAAATTTAATCTCCTTAGCATTACCCTATAATAATTAGTAACTCACAAGTTTCACCACCAAAATAAAAAAAAATGGGAAAGAAAAAAGAAAAACCCTAAAGTAAAATGATGATATTTTTATACGGTTGGTTCCAAACTTCCAAGGCTAAAAGTGCAATAATACCCAACAGAAGGATACTGATAATATTTTTTATGTGAGAAACGTGCCCACTTGCGGATGTTAAAGTCTGCAAACTTGAAAACGAGAGCTTGCAGTTGCATCTTGCATTGCATGCATTGGCTGTGGCACCGCTCTCTCGATCTCTCTGTTGCGACCAAAGTTACATGTAAGCATTACTGCTTTCGGTTTTTGGCTGCCCACTGGATTGTGGTTGTTGCTTTTGCCTCTTGGCAGATTGGCAAGGATTCAGCAGTTATGGCTTTGTCCATTTATTGAAGGGCACTTGCAAACTGCCATGTGTAGCGGTCTATCTTTGTTCCTTGTTTCAGGGAAACAATGTCTTCTTTGATTTTTACTTTTCTTTTTTCTTTTTTCTGGACTTGGAAGTTTGGGCATAGCTACTTTTATATATTTAAAATGAGACCATACGGAAAAGGTTTTGGGTGTATTTGGTATACCAATATGTCGCATGAGATGCTAATACAGCGTTTCGAATTAAATTAACTTATAATGTCATCATCTCGGCTTAAGGTTTAACAGTTAACAATATTATGTTTTATAATTTGAGTTAATTAGGTAGGATAGTGTCATCACGCACCTATTTTTACTTCTCACACGCTCTTCTTAATTTTCAGGTCGACGGGCCGAGGGCCCACTCCAACAACACCGATACTGTCCCCACTTAACCACCTGCACAATCCTCAGGTGTGGGGTTTTATCACAAAAGGCCTCGATGTTAGTTCCCACTTAACCACCTGCACAATCCTCAGGTGTAGGGTTTTATCACAAAAGGCCTCGATGTTAGTTAGAGAGGGGTATTTCTATTTAAAGCACTCTTCTCTTCTCCCTCTGTCCGATGTGGGACTGGGGGTTCCAACACTCCCCCGCACGTGAGACCCCACTTATGGGTCACACGTGAATTTCCACACATCGGCAACCACGTGGAGCCATGTCGGGACTCACCCAATCACGTGAGGCCAATGGGGACCCACCCAAACACGTGGCATCTTTGGCCTACGTGGACAATCACGCGGGGCCAACGGGGACCCACCCAATCACGTGGCAGTACGGGCCCGCCTCCTGACTCTGATACCATGTAGAAATTTTCAGGTCGACGGGCCGAGGGCCCACTCCAACAACACCAATACTGTCCCCACTTAACCACCTACACAATCCTCAGGTGTGGGGTTTTATCACAAAAGGCCTCAATGTTAGTTAGAGAGGGGTATTTCTATTTAAAGCACTCTTCTCTTCTCCCTCTGTCCGATGTGGGACTGGGGGTTCCAACAAAATTAATTGAAGAATATCAATGACAGAAAATTAAGAAGAATGGAGGAAGTAAAAACGAGTGTGTAAATTGTACTATCCATTTAATAGACCACGCTATAGTATGTCGTGTGATGTACACAACATATGTAATATTTTTTTTCGTTTAGTCTATTCATGTATTAAATTAAAAAAGAGACTCGTATAAATAATGTCACATAAACAAGTTTCATCTTAAAAGATACAATTAACAATGTGATTTGTAAATATGATAATTATATTTGTCCTAGTCCAAAATACGGTAGAAACGATGTAACCTTTTCCTTTTTCCTTGTACAACATAAACCATTTTTCTTGGAATCAATAAAGAAGAAGAATTTAGAGACAAGTAGCTCAAATTAAGCTATCATCTCACATTACTCAAAAGATATGGAGGATTTTGTGATTCTATTGCAGTTGTCGTGGTAGTGAGATTTAGTATTTAGTTTTACGCAAAGCTTTATAATTTTCACACCTTCAGTTTGTTTAATGTTCTTCCAAATCAAAGCACATTTGAAACATGCTTTTTGTAACTAACCTACCTACTTAATTAAGTGTGACATATGACATAATTCCTTTGAACCAAAGTTTATGGAGAAGGGTCGATCCAGCAGTGGTGGCTGGTGAGAAAGATAGATGCAAACAAATTGTGTCGGTCCCTTAATTTTTCACATCCAATAGAGAGCATACGAGATTTGGGATTTTGGAATAATAATAGTGGCCCATATTCCGTGAGCTGTTCACACATGCTCTTGCAAAGTATGTTCCTTGCTTATATTCTAGTTAATAAAAGTTAAGACATGGCTTTCAAAATTGCGGGTTGTTTGCTATGTGCACACGAGACACGCCTTCATCGAGTTTTATCTTTCTTTTCTTTTTCTTTCGCTTTTTTCTTCGAGTGAAACCATAGTTGTATTTGTGTTTTGATTGTATTATTATTAAGGAGAGGAGGGGATTGGAAACTATTACAATGATTCAAGTGATGAGGAGTTTCGAACTCGAGACATATGAGTAGAAACCAAACATCATATCCATTAAGATATTAGACTGCATGCAATGATAGTTATTTTATTAGAGTATTAAAAAAAGTACAAAAAGTAAAAAGGACATTCTGGATGAAGTCCGAACAGTCCTCAAACTAAAGAAGGTAAGAATTAAGTAAAAAATGCCGTTGTATCAGCAGATTTGTGGAGTAACAAGCACAATTTTCTTTATCTTACTGAGAAAGAGAGAGGGAGAGAAAAGCTACGTTGCCATTGCACATCCAAATAAGAATAGTAAATCAAATAAAACAGGTGATAAATTAGTTAAATGCGTTTCTTTTTCTTCAAGTAACAACAAGCTAGGTTCCCCTACCTTCTCCAACAACGAGAGAGAGAAGGAAAGGGAGAGAGATGGGAAAGCAATTTCTTTTCAAATATAAAACAGCTCATGAACTATTTCTTAATAACTGAATTATGCCGGCCTAACAAAAAAAATCTCATGATCACCGATTATTTAACAAAACAAATCTATATTAAAACAGGATTATGCATGTGGACGATGGATGTTTAACACCAGTCAATTATTTTAATTTGATCTTAATTAAGGGTAATCAAGGTTTTAAAGCTTGTACATGTAATAGTTTGAGATTCGGAAATAATGTTGTGTATGCGTAATCGAGTTTAACACTAATCAATCAGTCTAATTAAGATTTAGTGATCTTTTTATTCTGTCATTTCCTTCACCTGTCCCCTCTCTGGCCACTACTCTCCAATCATGTACAATTCTACAGAATTTATTAGCATCCCTTCTTTGAAGTTAATGACTTTTTAATGCATATAATTAAAAGATAACAACACTTAAAAAATTACTCCCCACTTCTCGGAAAATGGCTGGTGTCACCCATTGAGCAATCAACCAGCCCAAGTAACATATCGCAATTGCATTGGCAGTAAATTACTTTGCCCTAGCAATAGCTTTTCGCCCAAGTATTAGGAGGGTAATGACTTCGCAAGTAATAGTAGGATAATAACTTTCGCACTCTCGTTCCTCTCTTGCACTCCTTTTTATTTTTTTTAACATTTAGATCAAACAATCAAGAAAGCGTCAAAAAACTGAATATAACATAAAACCAACAGACAAAAAAAAAAAATGTAAAAGTTAGTCTCCCGTAACAATTAAGTTATGTAGGCATCGAAATATAAATCTAGCCGCGTGTGGCGTGTGGCGTGTATGCGAGTAAAAATCTTTCCATAAAAACACGTTTGAATACGAGTGCACGATCGGAAACCAGTCGTTGGGCCAAAAAAAATCCTTGCCTATCACGTGCTTTAAAGATATCAATGCCAAGCCACACTCCCAAATATTTTATAAAAATTTAAATAAAAATAATAAATAAATAACCTAAAAGGGTTCCAATTATAAATACCACAGATGCAGGTGCTGCTTAGTTCAGAGTTGTTGTGTTCGCTCTCCTCTTTCTTCTTTCTTCTTTCGAAAGCAAACCCAAAACTCTCAAGTGGAAAAACCTTTCTCTGATTAAACCCTATATCCATGGAGTGGATTCGCGGTAAAGAAATCGGCCGGGGAAGCTTCGCCACCATCTACACAGCAAAACCCACCAGCCCATCTTCTTATCTTCCGCTGCTGGTGGCCGTGAAGGCGTCTGAATCCGGCTACTCTGATTCGCTCAAGAACGAGAAGCAAGTCCTCGACCAAATCGGCTCCTGCCCACAAATCATCCGCTGCTTCGGCGCCGATCACTCCGTCGAGAACGGCGAGAAATTCTACAACTTGGTTCTGGAGTACGCCAGCGGCGGTACTCTGGCGGACGAGCTCCAAAGAAACGGCGGACGCTTGCCGGAATTTGATGTTCAACGCCACACAAAGTCAGTGCTCAGAGGCCTTGAATTCATCCACGCAAAAGGGTTCGTCCACTGCGACTTGAAGCTTCAGAATGTCCTGGTTTTCGGCGACGGCGCGGCGAAAATTGCCGACTTCGGGCTGGCGAAGAAGCAGGGGAATCGGATAACAAGGTCGAAGTAAGGGGAACGCCACTGTACATGGCGCCGGAATCTGTTAACGACAATGAATACGAGTCCTGCTCCGACGTCTGGGCTCTCGGGTGTTTGGTGGCGGAGATGGCGAGCGGGAAACCGGTGTGGGATCACAACCCCGGCGTGAACATGTTCAAGCTTCTGATGAGGATTGGGGGCGACGAGTTGCCGCAAATCCCAGAGGAGTTGAGTGAAGACGGCAAAGATTTTGTTTCCAAGTGTTTTGTGAAGGATCCAAGACAGAGATGGACGGCTGAGATGCTTCTTGAGCACGCGTTTGTTTCCGGCGACGATCACACTGTTCCGTCGGAGGAGAAGGCGCAGCTGTCGGCGTCTCCGAGAGGCCCATTCGATTTTCCGGATTGGGTTTCGGTGGCGAGTACAGAAATTTCTCCACAATTTGTGGATTCGTCTGGGAAAAATTTGGACTCCGAGTTCGATTGGTCGTCGAGAAAGAGTTTCGTTCCGGCGGCTGATCGGTTGCGGCAATTGGCGACGGAGGAGAAACCCAATTGGTCGTTCTCTGAAGATTGGGTAACAATTATGTGATTCAAGAATCGGGTAATTTTCTGCGGCAGAGTAGGCGACGGAGGTAAAAAAACAGAGGAGGAGGAGTTGAAGATTGTGAGATACCACAGTATTCGTTGATTCTTTTTAGTGACTGTAAATTTAGAGTAGGGCAGAAGCAGATGATTTTAACAGTCTGGTCCTGATTGGCGCCACGAGTGGGTGGATAAAACTGTACAGAAATTTTTTGATTGACTTGAATAGTTGAGATTATATTTTCCTAGAAAAATTGCAGATTTTCCAGGAAACTTGGTGTTCCTCTTCCCTTCTTCTTCTTGACTTTGAAAATTCAAGAACGAGTAACTGAGGTTCATAAACGCTTTCGTGTGCAATTCCAATTTCGTTAACTAACACGTAGAATTTGACCCATTGGGTCAATAGCCAAAGGAGAACACGTCTTTCTTCTTGGCAGTTTGGGTTTAAAATGTGTCTTTTCTTGACTAGATTGATGTTTCATCTCAACTTCACATGATATGTGGTTGGTGTGAATATTATTACCTCATTCTACCCATGCCCTTCAAATAAAAATTTACAGCCCAACGTGTTAATTTCAATTATAATACTCGTTTAAATAAAATTTACAACGAATATGATGGTTGGTAAGACTTGAAAATCATTTTCTCCTTACCGCATAAGTTCAAACTTAAAAATTTATTGAGAAGACTATTGTTTGCAATTATCGATCCAACTTGAACATATACAATATAAATTGACGGCTACATGTTGTGTTTTTGGTGTGCGAATAAGAAATTGCTTGAAGCATATGCTGCCAAATTGAGGATTTATTTGGATGTTGAAAGTAAATTTTGATAATTAGCATTGGAGGCAAAAACCAAATAATAATTTTAAGAGCATAAGCAATGTAAAGAAAACACGGCTTCCTCATGATTAGTTGGTGGTATTAGAGAAACGCTTTACATGCGATTCTTATGTGATACATATATTAGTGTCCACAAAGTTGTTTCTTTTGTGGTGGCTAATTGAGAATACAATTGAATAGGGGTCAAGTGGTTATTGAGTAGCCAAATGATCGTAAGAGGTGGCTACTCAAGGAACATATGCCCATTTTTTTAATTATACCACCTACTACTTCCGAGTGGGAATAAAGGGCACATAAAACTTGTTGGAGGATAAAAGGGTCATGCTATAGTCAATAATACATTGTTAGGATAAACTCAAATTTTAGATTTGTCAACCTCTAGAATTTTTTTTATTTTTTAATCAAATACTTTAGAACTATTTTGACTTTGAAGAATTATTATTGGGCGGTGTTATCCACATTTTTTTTTAGGCATCATTCTTAATTTTCGATCGTCAGATCAAATGAATTAAAGATGATCAAAGATCATGAATTAACAAGGAATATGTGGAAGGTAAAAAAAGATGTATTAATAGCATCATCCTCGTTATTTTGATGGAGGGTGCAGGAGAAACGAAGGAGAAGGTAGGAAATAAAAACTTGTAAAGGAACACCTACTAATATTGTTTCTTTATAAGAAAATAAATTACACAAAGAAAGCCCTAGGGCAACCACCACCACTATTATCCCACAACCAATGAATTACTCCTCCCTCTCTCTCTTAATTTTAATATATTAATACGTAACTCTGTTTTGTCTTCCTTGGTATGAATTACTCCTCCCTCTCTCTCTTAATTTTTTTTTTTTTCGTTTAATTTATTTTTGGAATTTGTGTGTGGAAGTTCTTGAATTTGTTGGTTTTTTTGTGTTGGATTCTCTTCAATTTTAATTTCCCGTTTAGAACAGTGATGGATTCCTTTTTTTCATTGTTGGGGTTTTCAGTTGCCATGTTTTAGTTTTATTTTATTTATGTGTGATTTAATTCCTATAAATATAGAATTGTTCCCTGTATTTCGTGGGTAATTAATTTTTTCCCCCTTCTTCTACGTTTAATTTGCTTAGGAAACTTTGTTTTTATAACCGGGAGTGTATGTCTTTTAATGTGATTAAATTCTGTTAACAAGGATTTTGATCTCTAGATTTTTCGTAGTGGAATTCTTATGGTGATAATTTCTGCCATTGCCTTTGTTTTTGTACTTCTCCCAATTGTAGTGAATTCAATGAATTCTGAAATTTTTGGTGATGTGAATTCAATGAATTGGCTAAACAGACTGATAATTAACAATAGTAATAGTTGATTTCGCTTTGGAAAACTGTTGCTAGCCAAAGAGAGGTCACAATGTCCCATTTTGTATGAACTATATGTCAATGGTGATAGATTGTATGGTGATTGAGGTTTGTGCAGGTAATTACTATAAATACAAATGGATGATGCTCACAAATTACTGAAATTTCAAGGAAAAAAAGAACACCAGATCCCAATTCACTTCAATCCTCTAACACCTTGATCTGTTCCAGCTTTTTCTTTTCCTTGGTATGCATTATTCCTCCCTCTCTTTTTATTTTTATTTTCGTTTAATTATTTATGGGATGTTGGAAGCTGAATTTCCGTAATTATAGTGATGTTGGAACCTTAATTTGGGATGCATGTAAGCTGAAAGTCTTACATATTTGGATGATTTTCTCCTTTTTCGTTTCTTTGATATGCATGATCTGGCGAAAGCTGGAAAGACCTACTGACATAGATAATGTCACCACCGTCTTCAAGCACTCTGGTTAGAATGGTTAGTCATCTCTCCGATTGATTCTTATTTATCCTCACCGACCTTTTGGCTAATTTTATTTTGCATTTTTTTGTGACTTACTGCAAGAGTTAGAATGAGCTTTTTATTTAACATGGATGATGAGTACAAGAAACTCATCCAGAGAATAAATCCATCAAGGTATATGCAAAAATCATACATTGGGTTCATATAGAAGTATGAATTTTCTTTTAGGATACAAGTTTGATGCAATAATTTATATCATGGTTTGTAAGATATCGTATGGATTTTACCTACCTGATGGTCAACGGCTGATGTCACTTTGGAAAAGCTAAGATTACCATACGACATGTCACATCCATATGTTTTTTCACAAGCAGATGTTGAAACTGTACACATCACCAAGTTTCAATCCTTTTTGCTTCCATTTCAGTGCTTTTCTAATTAATATTTCATGCTGAAGTTCGATTGAACTTTATTTGGGTATTTGATTATAGGATTCCCAAGTTGGATTGACACTTGGGTAATCAGGAAAAAAATGGATTTGGTCTCTGGTTACAAGGTGACTTCACCTCTCTTTCTCCAAAACTCAATTTTGAAGTTATCGTGCATATTCTTACGATGCAATTTAGTGCAAAATAATGTAAATTTTTCCTTTTTTAGAAACAGCTCGAGCTAGGAGTAAGTCTGGTGAATACCTAAGAGCAAGACTCACGATAAAATTTTTCTTCTCAGGTTACTATTCCATATTTTTGTTACAAGTGTAATAATCTTGAGAATAATGTTTAATTTAGTTTATCTTTCATGTAATTACAAATTTGATATATCTTTTTTCCTGCTTTTTTAATCTCATTTTTTTTCTTTTGTCTCACAAGATTATTCACAGTCGTTAATAATCCAAATGAACAACTAAGAGCAAGTCTCACAATAAACTTTTTCGTACGATTACTTCTTTTTGTTACAAGTCTAATAATGTTGAGAACAATGTTTAATTTAGTTTAAATCTTCTTATTTTGATAATTCGATTTTCCACTACTTTCTCAAACTTGGAGTTGGTTTGATAGCATTTGGGTTTTAAACATTTATATGAAAGTAGCTCATTCCAAGTCATTGATCAATTTCAAGTGTGTTTCTTTTTTGTATGAGAATATGTTAGTAACTTATCGGTTTTTCTCTCCTCTAGGTGGTACAATAGTTCTATCCGATGATGATCGCTATTTGTCAAAGGATGCTGTGGAATTTCAAGATTGAAAACCGCTTGCTTTCAACTTTTTGAACAAATTACCTTTGTAAGGTATCAAAACAATAATTTTTCTACAGCAAATAAAATTATTTTCTTTGTTATGGTAATTTTGTTAGATCGGTCAATGTTACACCGATGCTAACCCAAGTTTATACATTGCTAGAAAGTCAATTTGTAATCCCGTAACAACGCGCATGCATTACTATCTAGTTACATATACTAAAATCCAGTTTTGGGTTACTATTGATCTATAGTGTGCGGACGGATTTGCCCTCAGTTTCTCTTTGCTTGCCATTCTGTTTCCTCTTTTTTTGCAGTGGAAAGTCGTTTTTCCCCTGTTGGTTACGCGTCTTTCATCGCTGCCTTCACTTCTTCTCCACCTTTTCTTCCGTGTTTCTTTCTCTCTCTCTCACAACATTTTGCTTCGTTTCGAACCTCTCCCTGTCAATTGGTCCTTTACTTTGATTGCACACTGCATCATGTTAAAGCTCCCACCAACTGGAGAAAGATACCATCCTACATCTTATTTGTGTGCTAGTTATGGTGCTCTCTTGGGGTTTCTGTACGCGTTGGTCATCTGGAAGGGAAAGAAAAATCTGGGCAACTGGGGTCTCTTTCTCGTTCCACTCTATCTAATTCCACTTTCTCTATAAAAAAAAAAAAAAAAAAAAATCCCAAAATTGGCTCTCCAGGACTGGAACTGAAGTATGAGGTACCCTTTTCTTTTTTCCGTATTTTTTTGTTTAATTTCTTTGTTTCATGCATGGTGGATTTCTCTTTGGTGATTATTGAATTGCTTATATATTTGCTTGGTATTTAGGGTGATCTAATTTTTCTGCCTTTTCAAGAGCAGCGGCATGAGGTACACTTTTCATTTTCTTTATTTTTTCTTTTTTTTATGTTTTTTTTTTTAAATTTTCTAATTTTTAAGTAATGGATGGAGGTGGATTCTTTGAGTATACTTGGGATGGTGAGAAATTAGAGCTCATTTGGGGCCAAATCCAATTGGATTTTGGTGTTTGATTGGAGGAAAATAAAATAAAATAAATTTGGGGTTTGTATTGATTTGGTGTTTGGTTTTACTTATTTTTTATTCTTGCATGTTTGCTTTTTCTAAATTTTCACCCTTTGTTTTGTTAGTTGAAGATTACAGTGTTCGATTGATTTCAATGGGGTGAGTTGTTAATTTGTCCTTTGTTTATTCATGTTATTTTATGAATGCTTGCATAATATAGTTGAAGATTATGGTGTTCGATTGATTTCAATGGGGTGAGTTGTTAATTTGTCCTCTATTTATTCATGTTACTTTATGAATGCTTGCATAATCTGTATCTCATTTCAGCCAACTCTTTGGGTGTATTTTT